CCGATTTTTCGCAGATTTTAGGCATTTTTAGCGCGATTTTTGGGTCGGAAAAAAATCGGTTTTCCGATGCCGACCGCCAAAAATGGATTTCAGATTCGTAATCTACACCCCAAAAAACATATAATTCAAAAAAAAAACACCCTTTTTTTTGGATGTAGTTAATCTGCAATAATACCGTTTAGGCTAATAAGTTCTCATTAGCCATTACATCAAGTTTATCAAATTAGTTTGGAAAACAGAATTCTCAAAGATACTTTCTTTTTCAAGTAGATTTTACAAAATTTTCCTATCTAAGTTTTGGTGTTATAAGTTGTATATGTTAATGAATATTGCATTTCTCTGCTCATTTATTTCTCTGCACATGCACATCCACTCTCTGCAATAACATAATGTTATTACAGTTATTTACTATTCTATTTTCTGTAGCATTTCTATTTTTAAAATTCAAAATGAAAAACCAGGCAGAAGCCTGATGAATTAGACAAAAAAGTCACCCATGAAATGGACATTTTTACCTGTAATTTTTTGGAAAATTATCATATGTGTAGTATTCAATATTGGTTTATAATAATGTTATGTTTAAATGTTTTTTATTATTAAGTTGAACTACCTGATCATTCTTTTTCAGTGCCAAGATATCAAGGAGAATGGGCTGGACAACAATTATATTCTCACTAATGGCACCAATGCTAAACATGTGAATTTGTGCCATGAACTATGCAGCTCTGATATCAGCTCAAGGATTGAGTGTCATGGGCCACAACTATCAAAAGCTGCAGTCTTCACTCTGTTATTGCATAAGAAGAATAGAAAAAATCCAACTACTCCTGTTTTGCATCATCTTTCCTGGCCAAGAATTGTAATCAAGTCATCTGCTTCTAATTCTTTTCAGGAAATTGGGGGAAGTGATCAAGTAAGTATTGCTCTTATTAGTTTATTATGATTTTCTTCATTCCTTAGCCTCTTAAAAACGCAAAATTTAATCATTTGAAATCCTCAAAATCATGTTATGATTGAAAGTTTTCTACTTTGACCAACTGAAATCTCATTTAAGAGCTAACAAACCCTTAAAAAATTTTGGGTTAATAAAATTGTACATTTCAATTTTGATTTAGGTATGTATATAAATCTGTTTATTAAGATATACTTTGTGATATTTGCTTCAAATTTTCTTTATTAACATGATTAGTGTCCTACAGATGTATTGGCAGACTACTGACCAACCACTACCCTCAAGAGAAGATCTGATGCATGAAGTGTTGAATTATGTACAACAATCTATCAGTGTAGAAGAGATGGATCCTTTAGTAACATCATTACTTCAGCAAGTACCTTTGTTCACCAGCAATAATAAATTAAACTCTAGATTAGCTCATAAATACTTATGGACATTGATAAAAGACAGGGAATTTCTCATGACCCTAGCATTAGAAGACTTGAATATTTTTCCTAGACTTCTGGGAACATGTGGGGATTTTTATGGTGTGGAACATGTCAACACTCTCAAAGAATCTTTTATAACACCTTTTTCCTTGTCAAGAGATGAAAGACTTTCTAAAGCAATCCACATCATACAATTTATAGAAAAATTACACTCAATTTGGAGAGAACCTCTGCATCTCTGTGATGTAAAAATGACTCATTTTGGCTGGAATTCTGTAGGCATTGTGAAGTTTGTGGACGTTGATACAGTTATGCCTCACAGCTCTCTTATTGAGAGACTACAACTCGTCCCTAAATGTGAGTTTGATGAAGACTGTGCATTCTTTGACTGTGCTGCCAAATGCAACTCTCATCTCGGCATCTGTGAGCCAAAACGCACTAACACTAATCTGCAGGTCAGAAACTACCTATTTGCTTTTTCCATGCATTTATTATTATAATGAGTAAACATATGTTTTTTGACATATTTGCTCATGGTCTGAAATGCTATAGAATATTTGCTAATTTTAAACTTAGTTCCTGTTTGTTTTCTTAAAATTTAATTATTTTTAGCTACGTAAGCTATTCTGAATGGATACATAGTATTTTAGTATCCTGATACCAGATAATAATTACATTAATATTTGCAGGTAATATCATTCTATCACCAATATTCTGATGAGAGGTGATCTGTGTTTTCTTGATTGCCCTTTTGTTTGTGTGCAAAAATGCTACACAATTTATCCTAGCCTTTAATAAAGTATTGAAATAATACCGTAACTCAATTTCCCTAAAAATCATGTACCATATATGTGAAAAATACTTATTAATTTTAAAATTCCTATTTCTACCATATCATAACTTCCTTACCATTTTCAAATAATTGTATCCAGAACATTGTAGAAAGATTCATAATTATTTCTTCAAGTCTATCTACTCATTATTTATCTTATTGATAACAACTAGAAGCCATTTTTTTAAATTTTATTTATGGAAATAATCCTGGGTTTTTCTAGCTGGTAGCAGTTGTACTCATATCTCTCACTTAAATAATTCTAAAATTTTGTCCATATTTTCAGGTGGTGTGCAAGAAAATATTCCTGGGTGAAACAGTTAGTGGAGTGCAGCTGCAAGGTCTGCTGCAGTTGAACAATGAATTGGAAAAAGATGATTCCCTGAGGGAAGCCATTACCATGTGCATCACCAGCCCTGACATGACGACCCAGTCTCTTTTGCACGCTCTACACAAAGCACAGGACGTGCATGGTTTTTAACATATTTTTGACAGTAATTTTTTTGTACCTTTGTTATCTGTACACAAAGCACAGGACGTGCATGGTTTTTAACATATTTTTGACAGTGATTTTTTTGTACCTTTGTTCTCTTAACACAAAGCACAGGACGTGCATGGTTTTTAACATATTTTTGACAGTGTTTTTTTTTTGTACCTTTGCTCTCTTTACGCAGATTGCACAGATTTGTTCTCTTTATTTTAAATTCCATACCATTGGTCTTCCAGCCTTCTTTTTTTTGTACTCATCTTTTGAAATTGAAAATATCTTCCAAATCATCACTTGAATTATTTATTGTCATCAATACGTACTCATCATCACAGAGATGCATCATCATCAGATCCAGAGATGCAGAAGTTTATAGAAATACTTCCTTGACTGATATTTGTGTTGATAATCTATTACATAATTTGATTTATGTTATTGTAAAGCAATGCATTATAATGTCTTTCTTATATGGGGCCTTGTGAAGCGTTCCAAAGAACAATGTGAAACCTGTATTTTACAAGTCTTAGATTATTGGGTAATGATCATAGTGTTAATAACTTGCAAATAATTGGTTCCTTTATTCTATCTAAGTTATACTGTTTGGAACTGGTTCTTATTGAGCTGTTCTGAGCTTACTCGTCTGTCTAATATTTTATAAATTTTCTTCTCTTTGCTTGTAATTAAAATAAATTGAAATGATTGAAGGATAAACTCTTTTTCTTCATAGTCATCGATATTTTAAATGATTAATTTGTACCTGAATATCCACATACCAATCTATTTGTTTGAACTTGTATTGTACCTCGAAACCTGATATATTTGTATCAGTATATGATATCCATTGCTCATTAATTTGTTAACCTCTAGTCTCATTCATATAATAGTTTGTACTTTTGTGTTGTTTTGAATTCAGGTGGGTGGGGACTTTCTGTTATATTTATTTATGAATCTCTGTTAAATTTAGATCATGCCATTTTTTTTCCATTAATGGGTCTGTTTATTTTAATTTTTCTTGAACCATTCATGTAATTCTACTCGGGTCAATACGTGACCTGAAGACAATTTCTATTTTTATGATTTTCTATTTTTTATAGTATAGTACATTAGGATCAACGTTGATGAATGAGCCTGGTTTGGCCTGTTGCCGATTAATGGGATTTTCTTGACTTGTCTCGTGTAGATCTGACAACTACCCTTCTGACCAGATCTGACAACTACCCTTCTGACCAGATCTGACAACTACCCTCCTGACCAGATCTGACAACTACCCTCCTGACCAGATCTGACAACTACCCTCCTGACCAGATCTGACAACTACCCTCCTGACCAGATCTGACAATTACTGTACCCTTCTGACCAGATCTGACAACTACCCTCCTGACCAGATCTGACAATTACCGTACCCTTCTGACCAGATCTGACAATTACCCTTCTGACCATATCTGACAACTACCCTCCTGACCAGATCTGACAACTACCCTTCTGACCAGATCTGACAACTACCCTTCTGAACAGATCTGACAACTATCCTTCTGACCAGATCTGGCAACTACCCTTCTGACCAGATCTGACAACTACCCTTCTGACCAGATCTGACAACTACCCTTCTGACCAGATTTATCCAAAACTGAGGTTGCTGTGCGTAGCATACCTAATGTTATTTCTCTCAAGAATGTTCATTAATTCCAATTATATCTCACAATTGTGCCCCAGAAATTATTATAGTCTTGGATGCACCTAAAACATTCGATAAAATTTACATTCCGTTACTTGAAGACATTTTGTTGCAGAGCGTAATCATCATAAGACCAAACCTTGTATGCTTCTAGAAACATACACAATACTTAATTAGAATTATGCTATTATTGTAATTAGTTTGTAAATGCTAATAAGGATAGCAGATGTTTTATATACACCTGTCAACTGGTATAAAAACCTCATCAGGTGATGAACATGCCGTTATGTTTTAGGTTTTTATAATTGTTTTAGAATTCTTGTTTCGTGCTCATAGATCTCATTTGAACGTGGATGATGATTGGGAAGTTCACCTTTCGCCTCAACCTGACTGAGGGCCTATGAATCTCATACAGGATCTGATCTGACTACAATCAAAAATAAACTTGCCTCAACTGATTAGTGAGCCGCATTACCGAGCTGATTTATATTTCATATGAAAAATGTTGATCGTTGTTTATACAGCCGTATTAGACGAAGGGGGAGGTAATATCGCAATTATTTTTCACCTTATAATACTTCATGCATGCAGCAAAGGTATATATATATGTTACCTGTCAGCAAGTTCATCTTATTTGATGTCTGATTACTTTTACATTTTTTGGGCGCAAAAGCAATCTCTTTACATAATTTCTAATTATTTGGTTGTGTTCCTTGAAACACGTTGTGATGTTATTTGCTGCAACTGCTTTGATAATTTGGAATCTCATTCCATTGTACTTTGAGTACATTAATGGCTCCCGAAGCTGTGATTGAATCTCGAGTTTGTTCATTGTGGTGTGTAAGTTAGCTTAAATGTAGAATAGCTCGTGTATTTTAATTTGTAATTTGCTTCTAAACTGGAATTAATAAATCAGTGGTTCATCAACAAAGTAATGATTGTTATTCATTGTTATCGTTAACGATCGTAAATTTTTCACGATGTACTGTTTGTTCAGAAAAGCTTTCAATCTGGACTCAATAGTTATTTTTCATTATTATATATCTTTGTTGAAAAGTTTCAGGCCAGTTTTTTCAATTGATACCGTAAATATATGTATTTATTAATTTTGGCTTAGCCAACTGCGCCTCTCACAAGAAACTATTTAATTTTTGTGAAACGTAGCTTTTGGATGTCTATTAGTATGCGCGGACGGTGCGATTAATCTCTAAAAATTATTTATTACTGTACAAAATTGCTGTGTAATTTGAGAATTTCTTTTTTCAGAATGTATCGAAATGTAAAAATTAGCTATAATTTCTAACTTTTTAGTGTATCTTGTAGAAATGAGCATTTGCGTGAATGTTGTACTCGTAGTCACGTCCTGTACTAGGCCTGGGCCATGCCTTCAAAACTGGTTAAGTGAACGTAAGTACTTACGCTCTATTTTCTTGTCTATGATTAAGTGAACGTAAGTACTTACGCTCTATTTTCTTGTCTATGATTGGTGGATACTTTCAAAGCTCGCTAAGTGAACGTTAGTACTTACGCTCTATTTTCTTGTCTATGATTGGTGGATTTTGCTTGAAAGACCGTCAATGATCGGCTGCTGAACTTACGATCTCTTAACTTTTTTTGAAAGTATAGGCCCAGTATGGCATCTCCAGACCCCATACAATGTCTACCTGTCCACTCGGTTTGAGCAGCTCACCTACAGCCAGTTTCGCAGCACAGCTGTATTGATCCCAAGCCCATTGCACTTGCTTATTTACCAGTATGGCATCTCCAGACCTATACAATGTCTACCTGTCCACTCGGTTTGAGCAGCTCACCTACAGCTAGCTTAGCAGCACAGCAGTCTTGATCCTGGGCCTCATATGCTTGCTTATTTATCTGCTCTTGTCTGAGTGAACTTTATGTTGTAGCGGTTCTTTTACTCTGCTTAAATATTACACCAAGGGGAACAAGATACACAATTAAAAAGATGCACATGACACTCAAACAAAATTAAATAAAACATGACATACATTAAGGTACAATGTGAATGAATGATTCTACTGTATAATATAGCTCATATTCTGCGGCCCTCTTCAACGTTCACGGAGACGTGGAGCAGCCGAACGAGCGATACGTGACTTAGCAGGCTTGGCCTGGCAGAAGTCGGGGTGTTAATTCTTGAAGTTTATTCATAGTCAATAAGTTAATACATTTGTTTTGTGCCTCGACTCTTGTCCATTTTCCTTACAATTTAGTGCATTTACACTCCATTCTTGACCAATATTTTAATTTTTGGTTCGTTTATGTATATCAGACACGCTTGAGATTAGTAAATTTACTTATTGTTTGTAAGGTCGACCTTATTTATCTTGCAAATGAAGATGAAAAGAGACTGTTTTTTTACAGGTGTAAAAGTTTGGATAATTGCCAATTTTCTTTATGGATTGCCCTGTGGATTAGATTGTGTTCAAAATTAAACGAGGTTGATGTTTTTTCCCTTGATTTTATGCTACTCGTACATATATAAAATTTTTCGGCATAGACTCGCGGTAGAGAAAAAATTGAGCGTTCATTGCTGCATGATGGAGGGGAGGGGTGTAGTGAGGGAACATATCTGCAGTGGATTCTGACCGACTTAAAATGGGGACAGGAATACGAAGTAAGTAATATTTGTATTTGCAGCCTAATTTCGAAAATAAGTTGCACGGTAGAAGTTTCATTTTCCTTCTTGTGTGGCCCAAATAAAAAATTTAAATAAGTATTATAATAATGTTAAACTAAATTGCACATTTTGTCTCTCATTTCAAGAATTTTTTCATTCCTATTAACTTCAGCAGCAAAAATTTTCCTTTCCTAACCCTCCGCCAAGAAAACGGCGTCTTGTGTAATAGAATAGAAGTGTCGGCACTGAAGAAATAGGCCCATGGCCTGCGGCCGTTGTAATGTAACAGCTCTTTAAATTAGTTTTATTTGATGAATATCCAGGGGTATGGTAGACATAATATCTATTCCGTGCCCGGTATTATATCTGTTGTTAACTCCGTCCGAACGGGGGCCTAGGGAACTACCACCCTAATGCCCACGGGTAATAGCTCTCATAAAAGACTCTCCTGGTTGGATCTTCGCTTCTTAATTATTTATACCAGATAATAATAAGAATGTGTTTTAATTCAATTTATTAAAATTTATGATCACTACTTTGTGAACATATAACAAACAACCATACAAAACTACTAACCTTCCTTCCCTTTACAGGTACCTACCTATAAACCGATTTTGCTTTGTGCTTTCTTTCGCTTACAGCATTACTAAATCATAATGTCTGATACCGGTACTCAAGATAAGCAGCTGACTGAGGCCAGTGCTATTTAGCAGGCCCCGACTGAGGCCAGTGCTATTCAGCAGGCCCTCACTGAGGCCAGTGCTATTCAGCAGGCCCCGCCTGAGGCCAGTGCTATTCAGCAGGCCCCGACTGAGGCCAGTGCTATTCAGCAGGCCCCGACTGAGGCCAGTGCTATTCAGCAGGCCCCGACTGAGGCCAGTGCTATTCAGCAGGCCCCAACTGAAGAGGCGAATCCGATCACTGCGATGCGCCAAGATGCTCTGAACAAGCTAGAGTTTGACGACTTCAAGGTGTATGGTGCACTGAAGACCGAACTCATCTCCGAAGAACAGGTGAGCATCATCTTATTGCACTATTAGATTAGGCTACTTAATATATAGGACTAATAAGGACTAGGGCCATTAGTTCATGTATTTATGATCTTTCCCCTGGGTTGTGTTACAGCCGGTTCACACGCTGCGCGTGACGATGAACCTTGCCAAGATAGAAGCCGCCAACAAGGTGTATGCCGAGTGGGTCAAAGCTGGCAAGCTCTACCCGCCTCCCGAGGTGATGAGCGTCTACGACGTTCTTGGAGAGCTGCCCAACTACGACGCTGTCGCAGGCAGCGAGGCAGCACTTGATCGTGCTGTCACTTTTAAAATGTCAATACATCCTAAATGTGTTGTGTTGTCTAAGGACGTTAAGAATAATGTGAAATGTAATCCTTATGTTGCTAAAACTAAGCGCAAGGCCGAAGACGAAGCCGGCCCTTCACCAAAGAAGGTGCCGCCCTTCGTTAAGAAGGCCAAGATTGCTGCGCATGCCGAACCGGAGGTAGAGGAGTCCACTGATACTCCAGTACCTCCGGAACGCCCAACAACGCCTGCGCCCCCAGCGCCCGTCGAGTCAGAGCTAACGCAGCTCCTCGATGTGCTCAAATCCCTTTCCCCAACCGCGCTTGCTGCTGTACGTGCTGCCGTAGCTCCTGAGCTACCCACAGCAGCTAGTACAGCCCCCGTTGCTGGCGGCACCTCTATTGGGGAGCCCACCCTTGCGCCGCAGCAGATCAGTCCTCCAGCGGCACAGCCCTCCGACCCCGACCTTAGACCCGACCCTAACCTGTCTGGTCGCTACAGGTTGGGTAAGGACAGTACTCGCCACAGCAGATCAGTCCTCCAGCGGCACAGCCCTCCGACCCCGACCTTAGACCCGACCCTAACCTGTCTGGTCGCTACAGGTTGGGTAAGGAAGGTACTGTGCTACCAGAGGGAGTGACTACTCTGCACGAGATTATTGCCTCTACATCGACGAAGCAGACTAACGATGCACTAGAGTTAGCCTTCACGATGTTAAATGACGCGCGCGTATTGAGTGTGGCCCCTGATTACCATGCTGTAGGCCCTCCCAACCCCCTCATGCCTGATACTATTGTCTTCCGACAAACGGAACACTTCACGCAGTATCAGGATGATAACATTGTGATGGGTGTTGAGGAGAGAGACTACGACACCGTGGTCGCGTGCACTGCCCACAACCAGCACGTGACCATAAATGTTGTCCAACCGGCCGAGATGATTGGCGAGGGTATTACGGTACCAACTGACTGCTATTTTATGATGCAGCCAGACGACAGGTGATGCGTATGTCAAATGTCTATGCGTGCAGGCAGCAAGGCGATTTCGTCCGGCTGCAGCAGGCTGTCAGCCTCCTGTGTCATATTGACGATACGACACTATACTACTTGAAGCTGTGGCTCTATGCCCTTGGCGATCTGACTGCTGATGCAGTCTGTCAAGCCACGGGCTTTGTTAAAGCTACAGCTCTCGTAGCCCAACAACCAGCAACAGTCCTGGTACAAGGCGCCCCTCAGCAGCAAGCTGATGTGGATAACGCCGTAGCCTGGATTGAGCAGATGAAGTCAGGCGCCATTAATGGTGTCTACCTCGGTAGGGAGCTGGGCATGCGGCACGCTGTGATTGACGCCCTAGGTAGTGCGAACTATCCGGCGTATCATATCACGATCACTGACCAACAACAGGCACCTGCTTTGCCTATAGTGTACCACCCGGTAACAGAAGACGTTGCCTTTGCGAACGCCCCAAATCGCGTTCACTCATCGTACACTGTTGATAGGTCTTTGACCCCGAATAACGGGAACAATGAGGACTGGCCAGCCGCTATGCCTCCTGGTTCCGAGATTATTCAGCTATCCAATGTGATAGCACGTAGGCAGGGGGAGCTGGAGGCATGGCTTTGCGGTTACGAGATAGCCGTTAGAATGCTCCAGCACCGCCACATCGAGAACGCAGGTCTAGCTGCCCAGTGGACGCTATTCCCTGGGTTCAGTTATTATGATGTGCTAGCCCTCCCTACACCCAGACTGTCACACAGGGTGTTGGCACCGTTCAGCTACACTGAATTGCCAACAACCAACAGTCCTGATTCTCGCGCACTGATCACTAATCAGTACGCACAAACCGCGGCACCACATCTGAACATTGGCCGGATGTACGCATACGGTGAGGCCAACGCTTTGCAGGCGATGAATGTCAACGGCAACGTGGTTCATCTGCTGCCTGTAGATAGACAGCCTCTCCGGAACGTATACCTGCTGGACACAGCGAACCTACTGTTCAAGAGTGCCCGGAATCAGGCTGCTAAAGACGTCATGTTGGAAGTAGCTGCGCGAGTGATGGATGGTATCTTTAAGGTACCACTGCCTCGCAGGTCAGAGCGTGTGCTCTGGCGATTCCCGCGACAGCCACACGGCCAACGCGCCCACTTCGATGCGTGGGGTACTGAAATACCTCACCTTACGAGAGGTGGGTGCTTGCTTAACCTGATGTCTAAGATACCAGCCTCCATGGGTATCCCTTGGACTGGTACTCGCGTGTGCTACAAGAGCTCAGCCCTTCTGGCGGGGAACCAGATTCAAGCTTTCTCTAGCCGTAGGCAGGTTGAAGGAATCTTTCAGTACCTGTACACACACAGTTTCTCGGAAGCTATCTACCTATGCGCCGTCATTCTTGACGAAGCATTCACACCAGCTGTGCAGCGCACTACGGGATCGTGGCCGATCTCCAAAGCTGACAGCGAGGGAAACGTGCCATTTGTGCCCCAACCACAGAATGTGATGGTGGGAGGGGCACTTGACTATGAGTTCAGCTGTGCCCTGGTCCGCATTGACCTTGCGCAGGCAGCCTTTAACTTCCCGATTTTCAATATACCTGTAGCCGCTCGTGCCGCAAACCGCATAGCGATAGACAGGTTCGGAATGCCTGGTGATAACGCTATATATCACTGGACTTACGGTCACACTCGCGTCGTCGCTGACGCGAAACAAGATCTCTTGGCTGTAGAACATGCCCCCATGCCTGCATACCTTATAAGCAAAAACTATTAACCCCTCTGTTATCATGGCTTATTCTTTTTAAAAGAACTCATTATGTATCACTTTACCCGAGTTCTGAATTCTTCCCTGGAGAACAAGCGACTGAACCGCTTACCTAACTTTTTACTGGCTAAAAAATGCAATATTTTCTAGGCTTAACATGATTTTACTTTGTTTTATCTAGAATTAGTGGGGAATTGCAGACATTAGAATTAGCAGAATATCTTGAAATTTGCCCGGATATTATGTTTCGATAACTGTTTTCCAGAGATGCTAACCTGCATATGGAATAGAAGTGTCGGCGTTGAAGAAATAGGCCCATGGCCTGTTGCCGATTCTTGAACTTTTCGTGACTTGATTCACAAGGGATCCGGCCTTTGTAACCCGATCTTTCCATAGCTGACGATTGCTTGAGATAGCTGCTGGACTTATTGCCTGGTCCGTAATTTGCTAGGCATTTTAAGACTGAACATATGCTCCTGCATAGCTTCGTCTAGTCTTATTGCCTGGTCCGTAATTTGCTAGGCATTTTAAGACTGAACATATGCTCCTGCATAGCTTCGTCTAGTCTGTTTTTGAAGATGTTCATACTCGGCGCTTCAACGATGCTATCAGGGAGGCTGTTCCACATGTCGGTGACTCGAAGCGAGAAGAAATGTTGTCGCATGGATGTGTTCCAACGCTGTTTTTTTAGTTTATAGCCGTGGCCCCTGGTGTTGGTTCTTGTTTCAAATTCTAGTAATCCTTCTGGGACCTTGTATAAGCCATGAGTATATTTGTATACTTCAATGAGGTCCCCACGCAGACGTCGATGAAAATAGAATGGAATGAAACAATTTTTTTAGTTCTACAGAAATTTTGGGTTAGTTTAATTATTAGTCCATCATCCCGTAAATTTCCAATATATTGACCAGCAATTTGTCATCAATGCAGAATGTACCGAGGCTTGGGTGAGTTGATTTACTGTAAATGGTTGAAATTTTGGTAAATAATGAATAGTACAGATTTTTAATGTCCCTCCCTCGTAATTAGGTAATGATCTAATTGGTTATTCACTCGCTGTACCCAAGTGTTCTAACTGTGCTTACAATTTCCGCTCATTGGCAGGATGGGGATGATGTCTGAATAAATTCGTTATTTTCCTTTACTTTTTGAAAAGTTTTGGAGGGATAAGGATAAGTATGCAAGTTTTTAAAACCGATATCCGAGTTTGCCAATCCATCGAAACAATCCATCATCGTGAGCAAGATTTTCGCGTAAAAAGGAGCCATTGATATGCTGAGAATAAAAGAACTGAAAATACGGAAAAGTCTGTCTCCAACTATACTGACTAGAACATGACCACGCTTAAAAGATGATCAACACCGTACAGCTGCTCTGAGATTATTCTTCAAGTATGGCTCTCTCTGGTAAGTTATTTGAAAAAATGGTTGAAAATGCACCTCAGAATTGATTATTATGGGCTCAAAATTGCATTTTGTTGCTTTCTAAATTTGACCAAATCGAAGCGATTTGCTAAATTTATCAAAACACTTTTAGAAATTAACCGACAATCTATTGGTGTTAGTTAATAAATCAGATCTATGTCAATTGTTATGATTTCATCTTGCTAGGTAGAAAATTTGGTTGATGCCACTTGAAAATTTACATTAACTAGGTACCTGTGTGAGTTAAGCTATGTCCATACTCTACAAGATACCAACCATACGCTGATACACATAAGGCAAACGCGGTATATTCCGACATTGTGGGTAATTCTGACACTTCTCAACTTTTTTCCTTTATAGCCTATTAAGCTTTGTCTTAGTTCCACGCATTCATTGATAATTGAAATAGTGACGTCATACTATTGCCAATACACTAGGTCTGGGCCATCTGGCAGGAAAACGTTGAGATCCAGAGAGCATAGTGGCAAAGCAGAGAGTTTTTTAGACTCTCCCTCAAGTTCATTTGTGCGTCCTATAAGTAGACCAGTAAAGTATCCTGGATACCAGCAGTATCATACATAAGAAATTGATTTAAATCTTGGGTAAATGAGGAAATTAAAAATGAACTGATTCTAAAAAATCTGTGGTTTGCCACTATGCCAGAGAGAGACAGTGCGCAATGCGCATCACCCAGTGAGAACATCAAAAAACATGTCAAGGTATTATTGCAGATTAACTACATCCAAAAAAAAGGGTGTTTTTTTTTTAATTATATGTTTTTTGGGGTGTAGATTACGAATCTGAAATCCATTTGTGGCGGTCGGCATCGGAAAACCGATTTTTTTCCGATTTTTCCGATGCCGACCGCCAAAAATGGATTTCAGATTCGTAATCTACACCCCAAAAAACATATAATTAAAAAAAAAACACCCTTTTTTTTGGATGTAGTTAATCTGCAATAATACCCATGTCAAAGTTTTTAGTTGACCTTGCTCTACCAAATAGTGATAAACTGTTTGTGTAGAAGGAATATTATGGTTTGAGACTTTTAAATAAGTCTGTGAATATATTAGGAATCCTTCAAGTATACTTATATTTGCTGATTTCAAGTGGTCCTAAATAAACTAATAGATAATTAAGTTAAGAGACAGTTTTAGACACATAAAAACTAATTCTGACACAACATGGAATTAGGCACACACAGCTTGTTCCGAGGAGGCGAGGACCAAGCTGTGTGCAAAGGACCAAGCTGTGTGCAAAAGTAAAAATATTCTTTATTAAAAGCTTGATAGCTCTTAATTAAAAACCTAATTATGTAATCTTCTAATTCCGAGCTGTGTTGTATTCTAATTTCCAATACAGCTCACACAGCAATAGGAATGTGATCACAAGAGGGTTGGAATTACGAATTAGTAGAGTTTGAAGTGCAGCCGGAATTAGTCTCACAAAATGCCAAATTTAGACAAACACAGTGTCACATCGGGTCAGAATATATGGATTTGGTAGGTTTGCATTCTAAAGACTTTTAAATAAATATGGCAACAGTTTGTGTCTTTGTGACGTTTCATTGTTACTGGCGCGTAGTGCAGTGTTTTGAGAGTGACATGAAGCAAACAGAACTCAAGTTGCACATATGGTGATTTTTTTATAGCCATTCATTTTTTGTTACGTCCTTAATGTGTCGGAATATACCGCGTTTACCAATTACCCTAGTGACAAACCAGAGATTTTTAGAATCAGTTCATTTTTAATTTCTTCATTTACTAAAGGTTTAAACCAATTTCTTATGTATGGTGAAGCTGATATCCATGATACTTTACTGGTCTACTTACAAGAGTTAAAAATGAATTTGAGGAAGAGTCTAAAAGTGCTCTGCTTTACCAGGATTAGAATTTTCCAACTTGTTTCTGAAATCTCGCAGCTTCAACATAACAAATTTTGGATACATTTCAAATCTTGCTGTCTGATCGTTCAGTTTTGTTAACAATTATATAAGAGGTAATTCATCTTGCAGAAATCTTGCAGTTCTGGAAATGGTTTGAAAGCTCTCTAGTTGCGGCCCTAAGGTTAGAAGTTTTCTATGCTTGTGCTTTGCCACTATATACAATAGTCATTGAATAATAAATTTTCAGTGAAAACCTTCAACTTTGCTGGAATTGTAGTTTTGTCAATAGTCCAAGACTGTAAAGCGTGGCACAACATAGGTCAAGGAGGCCGATTTCATGCACCAACAACGCCAAGGTGCAAGCATTGAAAACCTCTTCCTTTAGGGCCCTGACTAGCGCTTTTCCGACATTTCCGGAACCACAAGATTCTTATTCTACCTCCTATTCAATTGCTAACAAAAGTGCATGATTGGGCCGCAAGTTTCCAAATGTGTTGAAAATTTGTCACAACAGAGCCATAAGATTTCAGAAACAAGGAGGAAAATTTCAATCTTGCCAAGGTGGATGCCACTGGGCACCAGTTGCCAATTATGCTTCTCCATAAATTGCGATTCACAATTGATATGATATGGCCAATGTGCCATATTGATCAACACGGTATGCTCAGAACTATGCGTCGTTGAGTGTAGTTATGATGGCTGTTATAAATATATAGTTGTAGTTGAGTGTAGTTATGATGGCTGTTATATGGCACAGCATAAGCACTCACAGCCACCTGAACTACACATTGCAGTGCGCAGTGCTGATGGCTGTGAGAGTGTATATTTGAGCACCAAAGCATACATGACATACCCAGGATGGTGAGGTTTTCCATGGATTAATCTGGCCTACACAAGGCTCTGAGCACTTGGCCTGACATGGGCCTTGGCATGCATAAGGAAAAATTGGTGCTCTTGGCATACGTGCCTGGTGTACATCAGGAAAAATGTCATGCGCCAAGCGTATCTTCTAGCGCTACAAGCACAGGGCATAGCTTGGTTAAACTAGTATAAGGTTAACCCATGAGAAGCTCATTTTTGCAGATGTAGTTTGTTGTTTGCCTGTGAGTCTGTGACATCACTGATCTCAGTGACGTCTCAGGCATTAACCAATCATCAAAATGCAATCAAACCAGACAACCAATCTGTCATAGGAATGATGAGATTGTTTACTTTTCTTTTTCTTGGTCACGTAACAAGAAAACTGAACTGAACGATGAAAATCGTTGTCACAGTGGCATTCTAAATGCTATGTAAATGACCATATACCTAAGTAAATAATGAGCTTGGTGGCCAAAATAGGAACGCACGCCCTGCAAAAGGAACAGGACGCCCTGGACAAGAGCACTATGGCGCAGCAGCACCCAAATCACTGCCATTTCCTTAACAATTTGCACTCTTGGAGTGCCCTCAAATTGCACCCCTTTGCCCTTAGCACCCCTCAAATTGCTCCACTTTGCCCTTTGCTCCAACATGAATTGAACACGTATGACTGCTCCTTGAGTATTAAGCAGTATTTTTCACTTTCATTATCATATTGTTAGTAATGTTTGTATTTGTATGTAAATATAAATTGAACAACTTGCAATAATTTATCATGAGTTACTGAAGTAAAGTTTTCAAACTTGAGAACAAGAGTGTTTTCATCTTTGCTATGCATTCTGACATCCCATAGATTTACAGTTCTATTAATTATTTAAATAAATATTTGAATAAGGACTAATTAAATGAAAAATTCTCATTTTCCTATTTATATGTTAATTGATTAACCATTGAAATAAAAATTTTCTATTGATTGCTGTAAGTTATAAATTGTTCATGAAATTATAGTCAAAACTGTTATCAATAAGACACGATTTGATTTTAAGTATGGAACACAAATGTGTAGTAATGAAAATAACCCATCAGGATTAATATTACTGGTATCACTTTTTTCTAACAAATCCATATTTGAAATTTTCTAGTGTGGTCACGTCGGCTGCCTTCGCTGCTCCAAAGAGTCACGCCCGTCGTGACTACCATCAACACAACTACCACTTCAGGCAGCAACCAGCAAAGTAGTGTACCGTCCACCAGCCCTCAGGAAAAGTACAAGCCATATAGCCCTTTTCAAGAGACCTCTAGCCGGGCAGAATGGGCTGTAGCTCGTCTGGATGACTTGCTAAACTGGGGCAGGAAGGTGGGAAATTCTAGAGGTTTTAATCATTGTCTCGCTCTTGTCTTTTGATTCTAATATTAAAATAACATTTTTGCCTCACTCTTGTCTTTTGATTATAATATGAAAATAAAATTTTCTGACTACAATTTTTTCACTTTCACTTTGAAGTACACTTTGGTGCACCTCACAGATGCTCTATGCAAGATCATGAGTGTCTGAATGAAAAGAAATTACGACTCAACTTGTGTTAGTGCCTGAATGAAGAGAAATTACGACTCAACTTCTGTTTACAATTTTGCTATGCATTCTGCCATACACGCGAGCTTACATTATACATTAATAGTCATATAACCACATAGTCATATAGTCATATAACCACATGTAAATGTCATTTGCAGGGTTCACTGTGGCCTCTGACGTTTGGCTTGGCCTGCTGTGCTGTAGAAATGATGCAGTGCGCCGCTGCGCGCTACGACATCGACAGGCTGGGCATTGTATTCCGTGCGTCGCCGCGTCAAGCTGACGTGCTCATCGTCGCTGGAACTCTTACCAATAAAATGGCTCCTGCGCTCAGGAAGGTCTATGATCAGGTTAGTGCAAGGATTTATTTCATTATTCTGCTTAGATGTTGCATCACGAAAGATATTATTCAATACACTTTAATTGAAAGATATAAAAAAGGCAGAGGTCACTAGGTATCTATATTAGGATAATAATTTGGATGAGTTAGTGAATAGAACTCAGCTAACATAGAACATAGTGAAGACTATTAGGTACAAGAAATGATTTCGTGTATCAATCTGTTCTTTTCACATGCATGCGTAGTCATGAAATGTGACGACCGAATACAAAGTTTTGTCTGCTAAGGTTCCTCTTAATTGCTTTTTGGGGACGGTGAAAGCGTCTAGTAAATTTTTTATACCTGTGACCATTACAAACTAAGTAGCTGCATGATTAAAGCGACTGACAATATCCTTTAGAAGTACCCAGCCTCAAAAATGCACCAAGTAATTCATCATGCCTCTGAACATTACGAACTTAGATGCTGCTAGTTTATAGCACCTAACAATATTTTCGAAGAAAATCCACATCATCAAAAATCCCAGTAGTGCCACTTGAAGTCCTAAAATCTCAAATTTCTCGAGGATGTCTCGGAAATATTTTTGTTTTCCAGATGCCATAAATTCACATCATCCAATATCTCGAGTCAGCAGTGCCACCTAAAGTCCTAAAATCTCGAAATTTTCTCGGATATATTGGAATTTTTTTTCCAGATGCCGGACCTACGTAGGGTGATATCGATGGGACACAACGTCCTAAAAATCTCGAATTTCTCTGTGATGTCTCACGAATTTTTGTTTTCGTTGGGTGATATCTATGGGCTCGTGCGCTAATGGAGGAGGTTACTACCACTACTCCTACTCGGTGGTGCGAGGCTGTGACCGCATCGTCCCCGTAGACTTGTACGTGCCAGGATGTCCTCCTACTGCAGAGGCTTTGCTTTATGCTCTTCTGCAGCTGCAGAGGAAAGTCAAAAATATGAAGAAGATTCAGATGTGGTACAGGAAGTAATCTTACTCTCGGAATTAAAAGAAAAACGCTAGAAACCTCTCCCCTACTACTACTTAAAAAAAATAGATAACTTGATAGATGAAGAAATCAGAATTGTCTTACTTTATAAAATAAATAGGTAAAGTGATAGCAGAAGAACCATGCTCTCATGTGACTAGTTTAGTTGAAAACTTGGTCTAGGAGGAAGGCAAAAAAAAACCTTGCAAGAGATATGTTCAAGTTTTTGGCACCGTCTATATTTTGTGAATCAAGTTTGCATGCAAAATGTATTCAGTTTGTTTTAAGTTGTCGATGAACAAGAAAAAATTACGAGTTTCATCGCTAAATGTGAATCAATGATAAAACGTGATATTGCTCACATTGGTTATATATAATACTAATTTAACAGAGATACAATAAATCCGTTTCGTTACGTTTATTATGGACTACTTGTCACGTACGTAATATTAACCATAAATTGTGAGAGCTCATTCATTATTTCCGTCGTATCAATGGAGGAGGGATGATGTAAAGTCGTTCGTGAAGGTTACCTAGTTTTTGGTCGACTTATTATGTTTTAAGTTGTAAATAATAAATATTACCTCGTTCAGTCTGTTACTTATTGACGATTCGTTTGATTGTTTCACTATTTCACATCCTTAGGGGTAAATTATCAGGTATAAGTTGCAAATAATATTTAAATATTCTCTCTCTAATAGTATATACTCCAAACTGCCTATAGAGTCTCAGATAATCATACACTAACAAAGGTTTGAATGTGGACACGCAGACCAATAATTAAAGAAAAAGTTTCTCTTGAAACAGAATTATTCAGTAATAATCATCCTACATTTTCTTATTTTCAGAGACTGAGATACAGAAATGACGTCAGCCTAATATTATGGCTAAATAATGAGCCCCCATCTATAATATCTTCCAAAAGTAACAAATTCGGTTCAATTATGACGTTAAATTCCCAGGCCATACTGCTGTGCAGCCGCAGTTGTAATTATTTATACGTGCATCCGCTACTAACCCCGCCTAATCGGATAGCATTATTAATTCTATTTTACATATAATTTCTGCATTAAAAGCGGCTGACTTGAAGGACAAACGAAATTATAGAAACGGCTGCCCAACTTTTGACTTGTCCAGCGGCCAAGATTGGTCAACTTAGTCAGATTATCTCTTGTAATAATTGCGTGCGAGATTTTAATAAACAAAAATTCCAATTGTCACGTATTCACGACTTAACAAATTTTTAGTACCACAAATTGAAACTTAACCATCACGCGCAAGCGAGTTTAATAAAATTAATGAGCTACAAGTAAGTAAATATTGTCTATGTAAATAAAGCCTACAACAAACAATTTCAAATTTGTTGCATGCTAACAAGCAATCTTCAGAATGTTGTCACAATCGTGCAGCCTAATTAATTACGTAAAATTTTCGTCCAAAATACTTGGACCTAATAATAATTGAAATTATTGTCGATATTCGATCACGATTCGGAATTAGGCTTAACTCCATGCGACAACATTTCTTCTCGCTTCGAGTCACCGACATGTGGAACAGCCTCCCTGATAGCATCGTTGACGCTCCGAGTATGAACATCTTCAAGAACAGACTAGACGAAGCTATGCAGGAGCATATGTTCAGTCTTAAAATGCCCAGCAAATTACGGACCAGGCAATAAGACTAGACGAAGCTATGCAGGAGCATATGTTCAGTCTTAAAATGCCTAGCAAATTACAGACCAGGCAATAAGTCCAGCAGCTATCTCAATCAATCGTCAGTTATGGAAAGATCGGGTTCCAAAGGTCGGATCCCTTGTGAATCAAGTCACGAAAAGTTCAAGAATCGCCCACAGGCCATGAGCCTTTTTTTCAGTGCCGACACTCCTATTTTATTCTAACTAAATGAACATTTCTTGAAAATTTGTAAACTATAAAGACGCTATCTCTTAACTGGCCTCGCAGCAATAGACACACTATTCGAGCTAGAATATCAGACGTTCTAAAATTTTATAAATTATTTAAAGTAAGTAAATATTAACACACTACTTGAAATATTTTGTACGGGCTAGACAAATTTGTAATGGAGTTTTTAAGAGTATACATATATCCTAAGCGGGAATGAGAAGATCAAAAATAATAGGTATAAAAAATTCATGGACAACTGTAATAATTGCGCAGGTGCATAAAACTAATAAGCAATGATCGGAAAACCTCAGTGCATTAATTTGATAAACTTTTGAACTTGGCCCTTTTGGAGGGCTAAACAGGGTCAAGATGCCCCACATAAGGGCAAAAAGTGCATCACTTTTTGAAAATAGTCCCACTCATTTCTCCGAGTGGATCCTGCAACATTGATACCTACTCATTCGAAGCGGGCCACTCTACCCATACGGTGCAATATAAAAACTTACTAATTGGTAATATGGCAAATAATATGAAAAGTACATGACGATAAGTCTTGAAAAGTTTGGAAAATATAATCCTGCTAAAAAGTAAACAAAACAACGTATACAAATTAATGACTTATGAGTATCACAAAAATCACAAACTAAGTTGATGATAGGCATACCAAATTGTGAAGCTCTTCACGATGAGAAGCTAGCGGAGCGGGAAACATTCGTGAAGTCTAAGTAAGAAATCGTCATCGACTAAGGGTAATCTACTTAGTACATGATTAAAACTAAATAACATGCAAGTCATTGACTAGTTAAACATACAGTACATCGGGGTAAGTTGTAAGGAAACTAATGCAAGACTGTAGAGACTTTAGTTGACAATGATTTTACAAGTACTAATTTTCTACAAGCAAATAAATTTTATCAATCATACACAAAAAAGTTCTCAATGTTAATTAGGAATTGGTAACATGGATACAACGAGCACCGTAAGTTTAATATACATTAAATATATAACAAAGCCTTAAGATTTCAACACATAATCGATAAAATCTTTGCAGTTTTCACCCTGGTTCAATTCACGTTGGAAATTTCTTCAAAACGATTCCTCTCGTTACTTACTTCAGAAGAACTTCCAGCATTATAAATGAACAAAATATTGTAAATAAACAGAATTGTCAATAAAATTCATTTCGATAAAACAGAAATTATCAGTAGTGAATGACTAGATCGTAAGCGTCGTACTAAATTCCCTACGTTGAAATTTCATTCTGAGTGTAGAAATAACTACAATTAGATGAACAGAACAACTTTCACAATAAAGATTAAAAACATGGAAGTAACACGTCATATAAATAGTAAAATACAATACACAATATATTAAAAACCAGGACAGCCATCCGAGTATTGAAGCAAGTGCCTGAGAAGTTCCCAGAAGTCAATAGTAAACTATTATGTTCATTTAGTCTATGACCAAAATAAATCAGTGTAGCTAGGGAAATAATTCAAGTAGTGAGCGACAATAATTCAAGTAGTGAGAAATACAATACACAATATATTAAAAACCTGGACAGCTATCCGAGTATTGAAGCAAGTGCCTGAGAAGTTCCCAGAAGTCAATAGTAAACTATTCTATTTGTCTATGACCAAAATAGATCAGTGTGTTCCCAGAAGTCAGTAGTAAACTAATATGTTCATTTTGTCTATGACCAAAATAGATCAGTGTGTTCCCAGAAGTCAATAGTAAACTAGTAAGTTCATTTTGTCTAAGACCAAAATAGATCAGTGTAGTTAGGGAAATAATTCAAGTAGTGAGAGACGTCGTCGTTTGGTCACCGCGACACTGAGCGCTCACGCTCCTGGGCGAGTCGCTCCCTGAACTCCATCACGAAGTTGTATTGCTGCACAAAAATTTAAATTAATTTTATCATTATTATATTTTTATTATTATTGATACATTATTATATTTTATAATTATTATTATTAATTCAATATTAGTATATCGCTATCTCAATAGCGGTTAGTACAGAACATATCTCGATCTCGCATAAGCATTGTAATGCTATTTTAAGACCTAAAACGCACTGAAAAAAATTACATAAAAAGTTATAAAATGCATTGTTTGATTTCAATCACCGTTATATTTGACTCTGATATCGCAGATATACTAAGTCAAATTTAACATTGATTAGGTTGCAGCTAATCACGCAGATAAGCTGAGAATATTTGTATAGTGTGATAATGTCGAGGGTTGTTCAGTGATATCTTAGATTGTTAACTTCGAAATGAATTGTTAAAGAATTAAAATTCACGTACAGTTTATTTGCATAACTTTATGCAGAATCTTTTTCGCGATCTCCACTTGGTAAAAGCCTTAACTTTGAAATGTCTTAAAAATCAATTTACAGCATCTGTATCAGTACACTGCATCTGTGTCGTTGTGCCACTTTATGCCACATTTTCCAACCACTATTTCACCTGGAGAATTAAGTATTCCAGGGCACTCTGTGCTTCGCGATTTCGTGTGGTGACGCTCTTGTCCAGTGTGGCCCTGCTTGAAGTTACTGTGGACTTCAGTTGATGCTTCATCTCCACTAGACTCATCCCCCGTCATCCTCCTGCCTTGGACGTGAGACGTGGACCGCTGGCCGTGCCCATTCTTCGATGCAAACACGTGGACTCCAGACGACAGCATGTGGTGGGTGGCGTGACGACCATTAGTGCAGTGTCCTTTATGCCTTTCCAAATGCTGTTTAATTTGCTTAGCCAAATAGTCTTCTCGAGCTGTCAATTACTTTAATTTAAACATGATCACAGTAGCCTTCATTAAATTTAATCTATATTACGGTTATCCCATATTGTGGAGATCGTTAGAAAGATTTCTGAAAACTCTGGTACATTTAAGCAACTCTAAGCACGGAGCATTGCAAGTCTAAACTGTTAATTTACTTGTCTCCTGCTTAATTATGTCGTATATTTAGGTGCTGTGATCTCTTGGAACTTTGCCTGGGACTGCGGCGGGAGCACTGGCCCACTGCTTACCTTTCAGCGGCAGGGGTCCCCGCCACAGCTACCGGATTTGGGGAGGATACCGAGCTATGACATTCGTCATACATTTTTGATGCGACGCACATCGCATATTTCATCGCTCAATAAACTATCCTTCTACCAATCCAATTTTTAATCCCTAATAAGTTTTTCAAGATGAATTCCCTTGTTAAGAATTTTAAGAAGACAAGCCTTAATCAGTTACAGTTTTAAAATATTTACAAATAGAGTTAACTTGCTTGTTGAGAACTTCGAAAAAATGGTCCTAAATCATTGTAATTAATCAGAATAATTAATTCCATACAAATAATTACGAAGATTTTCATGCAATAGTTTGATGCTTTGCAATAGATGGCTAAAAGCAAATGATGTGCATCTCCAAGTTGAATAAAGACAAATTTCCGATTGATTGCATTAGAATATAAATATATATTCAACTGCTAACTGCATGATTCAGTTTGTTTACCATCATCACACGTAAGTATTTGCCGTGCACCATATTTTTCCTCCTGTCGCTAAATATATAACCATTATGTAATGAACAAAAGCAAATGTCTGACATGAACTTTTAGTCATGATTTTGCAGTGGAGATGCCAAAGTCTGAAGCCTTCACCTACTGAAACACAGTCTGAAGCCTTCACCTTGCTGCTGAAGCCGTCGCCTACTGAAACAGAGTCTGAAGCTTTCACCTACTGCCACACAGTCTGAAGGCTTCACCCACTGCCACACAGCCTGAAGCCTTCACCTACTGCCACACAGTCTGAAGCCTTCACCTACTGCCNCTGTCTCTTATACACATCTAGATGTGTATAAGAGACAGCTGCCACACAGTCTGAAGCCGTCACCTACTGAAACACAGTCTGAAGCCTTCACCTACTGCCACACAGTCTGAAGCCGTCACCTACTGAAACACAGTCTGAAACCTTCACCTACTGCCACACAGTCTGAAGCCTCCACCTTGCTGCTGAAACTGTCACCTACCTCAACACAGTCTGAAGCCTTCACCTAGGTATATAAACACAGTCTGAAGGCTTCACCTTGCTGCTGAAGCCTTCACCTATAGTCTGAAGCCTTCACTGACAGTCTGAAGCCTTCACTGACAGTCTAAAGCCGTCACCTACTGCCAAAAGGTCTGAAGCCTTCACCTTGATGCTGAAGCAGTCACCTACTGCCACAGTCTGAAGGATCACCTTGATGCTGAAGCAGTCACCTACTGCCACAGTCTGAAGGATCACCTAGGTATATAAAAACAGTCTGAAGGCTTCACCTTGCTGCTGAATCCTTCACCTACAGTCTGAAGCCTTCACTGATAGTCTGAAGCCTTCACTGACAGTCTAAAGCCGTCACCTACTGTCAAAAGGTCTGAAGGATCACCTTGATGCTGAAGCAGTCACCTACTGCCACAGTCTGAAGGATCACCTTGACGCTGAAGCAGTCACCTACTGACACAGTCTGAAGGATCACCTTGACGCTATGGACAGCATGGTTGCCCCTGATGCTCCTGACGGCGACGACGCTGGCATCAGGGCTGAGGTCCTCGTCGAGCCACTGCAGCAGACACGCCGCGATCGTGCCGGTCCTGCCCACGCCGCTCATGCAACTGCGTCGATAAATAATTCAATTAACAACATATAAGATGCACGATTTATATACCAATTTATTCCAAAAATTTCATTTTAGCCAGCCCTTATATATAAATGCCTAAGGTAGGAGTAAATAGTTCAATGGAGAACTCTGCACTAATAAATGTACTCACTAAAATAAATAAATGATCGTACCGGTCCGGTAGCTGCGCCATTAAATAATACCAAATAATACCGATAAAATAATAATGCTGATAAAATAATAATTAGCAACACATACCGTACAAGGTAATGTATTGCAGTTTATTATTATTGTATGAAGTGAACTGCAAGAAAAAATACCTAAAATGGCTAAAATAAGAAGACATAGGTAATTTAAAAAGTTGGTGAATTTTCAGCACAAGAATATAGTTTTGCCCAGAATACCTTTCATGGTAGTATAATAGGATACAACCGCGATGAACAAATGAGATTTCTTTAAAATACTTTAAATCCACTTGCATGAAAATGACTGTAACCTACATTTGGTATTATAATTTACTGGGATACTATTTTCAATATATTTCATACATTGATTTTCACAAAAATTAATTAGAACACATGAGCTAGAAAGCAAAAGGTATTCAGTCGTTAAATCAGCAAGAAACACACACACTGATCAAATTAGCTTGAAAAGTTTTGACAGTGTAATTAAACTCATGGAAACAAGAACACATTCTTCAATGATTCAATTAAACCTTAATCATTCTGGTAAACAAACACCTTAGAAGTAGATTCATTTGAAACAAAAATGACAACATTAATATTCTAAAAACATTTCATTGAATAAATATTACATAAAAATTTAGACTAAAATGAGAAGCTAATGAAGGATAGTGACAATATCACGCATTGGAAGCTAAAATATTAGGACTCAAATACTTTATGAAAAATGGCTAGAATTCTAGGCATTCTTCATTTAGTTAACACAATGGGAAACTTACTGGATGAGAATGCGACCTCCATTTTGCAGGAGATCAAAAACTTTGTCAAGAATATTCATGGCCAAATCAATGGAGGGTGCGGATCCATCCTCAAACGGGTGATAGTGAACCTGAATGTTGTGCTTCAGGTAGACAGAGAGCAGAGACGGCGATCTGTACTTACGAAGCTCGCCTTTGCTTAACAAAACAATTGCATCTGTGACTCCTAGTTGCACAAGCAGGTCTGAAAATTAATATAAATTCAGTTTGTGTTGAAGATATTCATGCAGTGCCATAAATAAATCTCATGGTAGAATCAGGAAAATCTCAAATTAGTATGGTAGGTACCACATAGAATGACTGAACAATAAAAAAGAGTTTTAAGATACAGAATGTTTGTTAGAAATATTCATTAGGCTTTGTCAAATTTTTGTTCATAATTCTTTTAAACTGATCGCCAATATAAATTTTTGATAAATCATATTTGAGGAGGTGATAACAAAATGTAGGTATTATGTTCTTAAATACATACTGTTCTTAGGATCAGAGCTCTGAATATCAAGGATTAAAGTAAGGAATCAGGCCTCCAGAAATTGTTAGATCAACTTTGCTTCAGATATAATAAATATTTAAAATACTAACAATGCGAGTCTCTACAAAAAGTTATATAAGCCAGTATCTATTTCAATATATTTATACTCAAAATACATTCAGTGCCAATTCATTATCTCATTATCATAATCTCTAACGAAATTTGGATCCATAACTGGCGCACCATAACAGGTGCTTATGCTGGAGTAAAAATTAACACAAATTTTCAATGGCTTAGGATTAGGAACTTATTCTGGAATTTACCAATATCTTTCTGCAGGAGATGGTGTGTGTTGCGGAACCAACACCCAGGTAAGCCACTTAAATAAACTGCCCCTTTATCAGCAAAGATGTTATGGGGCAACACCAATCTGAAAATAACAAGGAGATAAATTTTGAAACGAAAATGAATTCAAACACATAAAATGAAAGAAATAAAAAAATTGGGCATATAATAGTGTACCTAAACTATAAATAAAATTTAAAAAATTGGGCATATAATGGAGGACATTATATAATGGAGGACATTATATAATGGAGGACATTATATAATGGAGCATTTCCAGAGTAGAGGATCTAAATTAGAATTAAATGCAAGTTCAAGCATTTCCAGTCCATTTATGCTCATCCCCCTTGAACCCTCAGGTAAAATGTAAGAAGTATCAGCTTAATGGCTCAAGTGTCCTTGGACATTTTCAGAGTGGAGGATCTAAATTAGAATTGGACACACATAAACAAGTTCATTGTAATAACCTTTTTTTTAATGAGGGTAAATGCTGTATATTCCAACACATTAAGGATGTAGCAAAAAATGGCTATAAAAAAGTCACCATAGGCGCAACTAGAGTTCTGTTTGCTTTAGGTCACTCTCAAAACACCGCACTACGCGCCAGCAACAATGAAACGTCACAAAATGTTGCCATATTTATTTAAAAGCCTTTAGAATGCAAACCTACCAAATCCATATATTCCGACGCGATGCTGTGTGTGACTAAATTTGGCATTTTGTGAGACTAATCCCGGCCGTGCTTCAAACTCTACTAATTCGTAATTCCGACACTCTTGTGTTCGAATTCTGATCGCTGTGACCTGTATTGGAATACAACACAGCTTGGAATTAGAACACTATTGAATATTGAACACTCCTTAATTAGACTTTTAATTAGCATATAGTGATGGCGAGCTAGATAAATTGGAATTGGTACACAATAGAGTGGCGAGATTGGCACTAGGAGCCCCCAGGTGGACTGCAGTAGAGGCCCTGAGAGGAGACATGGGTTGGAGTACCTTCAAGGAAAGAAGAATGAGAGCAGTTTTGAGGTATAAAGTGAGACTGGAGCGAATGGATGATGAACGTTGGGCTCAAAAGATGTACATATATGTGGAACATGAAGGTGAGCAAATGGGCACGCAGATGTCGGGCAGTGGTGCGTAAGTGTGGCATGCATGAAGCATGGGTGCACCAAAGGCCCACTGGGCCAAAGGACGAATGGGTGGTGACAGTACGGGGTGCGATTGGGATAGAGTGGGATGAAAAAGAGTGGAAAAGAGAAATAAATGAGCGAGTGAAAGACTATGGGCTGAAGGTATGGAAGCAAGGAATGGAAGGAAAGGACTCTCTAAGACTGTATCAGATGAAAGCGATGCCAAAATATGAATGTATGTATGATAGTAGTAGAGGTGGGGACCTTCTGTTTTGTGTTAGGGCAGGCGCGCTAGGTGTGAATGGACGTACATACAGGTGGAATGAAAGGAGAGAGGATAAATTTTTTGTGTGATGGGGATGAGAAGGAAACTGTAGAGCACTTGTTGATGGAATGTGGGGCGTATGAGAGAGAGCGTCAGTCTATGATTGAGGTGATTCTGAATGAGAGAGGTGAGACTAACGAGGTGGGGCATGAGAGAACAAGCAGAGTGGATGGCAATAATTACGGGTCTGTCTGAGGGAGCAACTGCGGCTATGTTTGAGAGTGTGAAGAGATATTTGGAAAACGTGTGGAGTTCAGTACACTGCTACCTCTCCAGCCTGTCCGTTCTTCTGGAGGCTAAACCTCCACGCTTACCCCCTGCTCCCCCTCCTTTCGGTACCAGCTTGCGGAAGAATTCTAACCAAACCTAACCTAACTTAACCTAACCCTTTTGCGGAAAGGTGGAGAGAAGGGGGTAAGAGTGGAGGAAGAAGATGCTGGTGAGCGCCAGGGTTGGGCTTACGCCTGCGAAGTGGGTAAGGTGATGCGACAGTCCGGTGCGGGGCCGTTCCCATTTACGGCAGTCTGGTGCGGTCTGCGGACCCTGTGGCTAACGGCATTTGTAAGAAGTGATGGTATGGGCTTAAATCATTGGTGTAGGAGCAATTGGGCGTAATCCGTTTGGAGTATCAGCTTGTGGGCTGAATCATTGCTTTTTTCAAGCTGGTGTGGCGAGATGAGGCAAGTAAGAACAGCTGCATAGGTGTTATGCTGACTATTTCTATTGCATGTAGAGGGTGTATTGGCTCTTGGGCTGATTTAAGAGTCAAATTTTTGGGCTACGGCAGCGCTCCCAGTGTTTTGGCAATAGTATGACATCACTATTTCAACCATCAACAAATGGGTGGAACTAAGACAAAGCTTAATATAAAGGAAAAAAGTGAGAAGTGTCGGAATTACCCAGGATGTCGGAATATACCGTGTTTACCCTAAAATAAAAATATTTGGCTTTTTGTCTGGTAATTTAAAAAAATGGAATAAAATGTTAAATTCATAGAAAACAGCATAAGCAGTCAGGTGTGTATGATGAATGTTGATGATACCTAATACAGTGTGGAATTCTGTATAGGTAATATATTCTCCTGTCAATATAAGAAAATGTATCGAAATACCAACCCTACCACCGCGTTACACCACCTTCCACTGCAATGAAAATTGACGAACTGAGCTCATTTGAAACAGCTGTGCTTCCGAAATTGCGCGTGGTTTGAAATCCAATCCTGTGTTGCCAACGACTAATCAAGTTAACTAGTCGTTTATCTGTAGGCTAGCGGACACATTTTTGCAATGAATACGTTCTAAAATAAAAAAAAAACACATCCAGCTTTGTAAAAAATTCTCACGATTGGACAACACCCACAAAGTTTTCGATTTCACACAAAATTATGAGATAAACTTCGACTCTTTCACTGCGTACATTCACATGGTGTTTTCTGTTTACTTCTCAAGTTCTCACAAGACGCAGACGGTGTCACACACTTATGTTTTGGTTGAGTCTAGTTTGATTTCACAATAAATAGACTTGATTCACATTCCATTCTGAGATTTAAATGATTGAAAGTTTTTTTTAAATTATAAAAACCTATTTATACATTCCAGATTTGAATTATTTGCCCTATTATTATTATTATTATATAATTTATCTTGATAAATTCACTACAAATTCTGAATGATTTTGTCTGCCATCCCGCGTTTTCGAACGTTTTGTGTCTTTTAGAAAATTTTTGTTGTTTAACATGGGAAACTATTTCATTATATAAAACATAGAGCACATACCATATAGTACATTAATAATACAATTTAATTCAATAAAAATTAATTTTTAATTTAAAAAATATAATCAGATTTTTAATTCAACATTTTTCTAATATAATTTAATTCTACAGCATGTACCATCTAGTGTATTAAATAATAAATTTTGATTTAGAAAAATTTAATTTTATTTAATTTTTTAATTTAATTTAATTCTACAGCTTCAACCAGTAAAAATGAGCAATTTGAGCATCATAGGAATCAAAGTAAAACTGTTGTTCATACATCACAAATTGAATGACATTGGATGGATTTGATAGGTATTTTATTAATCCTGTTTATATATAAGAACGGAAATGACGCTTCTATTTCAGAATGATAATGGAAATG